AAAGTAATTTCCGTGTCATTAATTTGCAGTCATAGAACCAGTCATACATGGATGTTTGACATTATCCATATATAAAGCACCAGTTTGCAAATGGTGTACAGTGCCCCATCACTTCAACTTGTATCATAAATGATATAGGCCATGTCAGCTCATACATGGTCCGCACTATAATGACACGGGTCTCAATGATAGAGAGTTTGCTTTATTGGTGAGTTGGTGGGTTGTGCGCATAGACTGTAGTTTGTGTGCCGATGGGAACCTCCAACACCCGAACATTGTAAATTCTGATTAGGAAATGCAAAAACAAATCTCCGTTAGCGCGGGCAATCACTTTGGGAAGACAATATAACAATCGGAGGAGCTGTGGTTGCTCCATTTGACAAAAACGTCCCACATTTGACCAAGTCGTATTCAAACAAAGTCATTTGAACCTCAGGCCAAAGATTTTTTACAGCGATTAGATGACCAAGAGGATCTCCATCACTGGATAAAGCTCTAGGAACAATAAGCTAATACACGTGAAAGAGAAAGCAACAGAGTGCATACTGACCACCAGGTAACCGGTGCGTAAGAACAGCACCACACCAAAGATGTTGATCATGCAGGTGGTGAAAACTCCATCCCAGGTACCAAAGAGCATCGGCTCCCACACGAACAGTTTGATCCTCCACCACGGCCGGCGAGACTGCTGGAAGCCCTGATCAAAGACACACAACAGTTTAAAGTACTGGCTGATATTTCGACACCAACAAGTCATTATCACGCCTTCATTTTGAGGAGCAAACAGCATACCTGTGCATCTTCATGAAACAAATCATGGACATGTGTGGTCATGTTGGTGTCAGCAACTCTCCCCTTCAACAGTGCTGCCACGTCTCCCTTCTGGTCACAGGTGTGCACAGTCCAACCAATTGGCAGGGTTTCCATTACAACCTACAAATGTAAACAGTAGTGTTACACTTCCACAGGTGGGCCTATTTGCTCAGAGTTGATCATTGAATGTAAAAGCAACATGAAGAAATTCTGTTTAGGATTTGAAAATCATCAGCAAAGTGACCACATTTCAGGATTAGATGAGTTTGTGTTGACACGGAGAGTTTTGGTTCCGCCTATCCCGGTTAAACAGCAACAGGTGCAGCATGAGGACACCCGGATGCAGCAGGGTGCGCTCCTAAAGCTGCAGCTGCACAGACGTCATTAACGAGCCAGGTTACTATATAGCTGCTAGCTCAATCAATAAATCAGTCGAGACAGGCAGCATACACTAATTAGCATCAAACAACAATGTACAGATTTTTACATAATTATTTAGCTATAAATCAACTGTTTTGTCACTCTCCTGTTAAAAAAAGTTGGTAACTAGTTTGCAAACTTTTCAATTTGATGTTTCCAGGTGGCAAAAGTAAATATGCTCCAGTAACACCTCTGACTTACTGACGTTCACTCTTAAATGAGGCAATAAGCAAAACGGCACCTTAACTAAATTCTACTTATCATTGTATTATTTTTTTTCATTCCTAAATTAACAAAACTAATTGGCAAAAAAAAGTAACCTAGCAGGCTCAACTCAACAGTTAGCGAGCGTTAAACCTACCTTTCACAGAGTCCCGTGTCATTCCATGTTGAGAATTTAAATAAATAAAGAGGAATAGTCGGCTATGAAAAGGACAAATCAGTTCATTGTTCCTCAAAATGACTCCAGTCAGCATGAAGATCACTCCCGGCTCCTCCTGCGGTTGACAGCATGTGCTACGAACACGTCCGCAGCCCGCAGGTAGCACACGACCTCCCAGGGTGTGTTGCTGCTTTGCTCCAGGATCCTGTTAGCTTTGGCAAGCCCTTCGATATGTTGACTAATCATTAAAGCTGAGAAATGCACCTACCACTCTTGTCTTTTTATTTGTGGAATTATTTATTATGAGACTCCAGCTTTTGGGAAAGAAGATTGTTTTGCGCCATAAGGCTGTTTGTAGGCCTAGGATGTTTTCTGACTATCTCTGCAAGTCTACAATCATGAATAACAGACAACAAATCCTGAACGTATATTTGTGGATTAACACATCAGAAAATATATCTAGAAAGTGTAGTAGAGTGATAGAAATGTCTTTGGATGTAACCAGCAGCATATCTGGGGATTTGACTTTATAATCCAGTCTCTAGTTCCATCTTCTATGTGAGGATTTGCTGCTTTTCTCCGTCATACCTAAAATATTGAAAAATAACTGCTGAGCATCGTGTACAATTTGGACTTTTGTATCTCAACTGTTGCCCCAGAACAAGTAAGAATGCAATGTACCGTAAATTGCACCCTGAATGGCACCAGCAGCTGCATATGAAAAACAATTCAAGGTGAAATACTGTGAATTATTTTATTTATAAGAACATGACACACAACAATCAAAACAACAATTTAATAAGATTGTTTACAAATCATAATATATTGCAAAAAATCTAATCAATATGGGTTACTTGACTGAAAATAATCAGCTACGATTAAAGCTGCACATTATTCATAAAACAAGTTCACTCGACCCGACAAGTTAGAGACCATGCAAATAAAGCTTAAGCTCAACCTTACAGTGAAGCAGAACGGCTTCCTCGTCACGTCCTTTAAAAGTATGAAAACGCCAAAAGTCAAAAGGAGGAGATTCCCGTCGGCAGTTGAAAGATCTTGACACAAACGACTTTTAAAGCGATAAATGAGGGTAGCTATAGTGACTGCATATGATATATAACTGTACATATCAGTGCCTTAAATGACATGTTTCAAAAATAGTTTTTATCAAAAAATTCAATAATTCAGATCTTTTTACACAAAACATTTTTCTCGAGCTTATCCAAGGACACTTATGGCCAGGTTACTGACAATAGTTCATTAAAAAAAAAAAGAGGAAAGAATACCACAGTACTGCTGAGACAACTCATGAACCTCTCCCGTCAGTACTGCATTTGAAATTACTTAATTGAATTTAAAACGTCTCAATGAACAATTCATGGGATACAATTTACCCGAGCAGATGGACTCATCTGCACTGTGCTTTCAAACGGGTAGCTGGTAAAATATCTCAACCACAACACTTATGTTGTGTTATACTCCACCCAACAGTCGTAACTGACATGACTTCAAGCCGACCACAGCTGTTGAGGTGAAATACTTGATAATAATAATGAAAAAGATCAATTTCAGGTTGAGTATTACTTTAAAACCAAATGAACGTTTTCTTGGGGTGTTGGATTTATACAGTAAATCCCATCATAATGCACAATCAACTGCATTAACTTACAAAAAAATAAAATAACCGATATTCACGTCATCAATGAAAATGTAAAAGTGTAAATTGTCTTCTGATAACAGAGGTGATATATAAATACATATACACAAACATCAGAGAGTGAACTGGATTCATTGAGTGTAATAAATGCTGGGAAACTAATTCATGTGCCTTCCGCCGTCTCTCGCACAAGCCCGGTCTCTCTGTCGACACAAAAGACCCAAGAGTTCTCCTCGGGACATAAAAATATGTAACGTATTTACAGCAGGATATCGTCTGTACATTCTAGTGGGAATGTTCGATGAGGAGGAAAAAAATAAAGCATTTGATGATTAACGTGGGTGCTGTCTGTCCCTGATTGTCCGGAGAAGTGTAACAAGAGGGAGTTTATCCAACCCAATTTAACGGCGTGTATAAAAACAGTGTTTAACACGATAGCACCTAAAACATGACACATACATGTGCACACGGAACACGGTCCACAGCGTGATGAAGCCCAGATGAGACCTTACACGTACGCATTTTTTTTTTTTTTTTGAACAAGGCCTGGACAGATGTGGCTTAATCTAGTGATCAAAACGTCTGCAACATGATTCTGTGCTCACACGCGGCACAGTCAACGAAAAACGCTTCTTCCTTCCAACCCCAGATAATAGTTTGAGAAATTAAACTCTGTGCTGTTTCTGCTCAAAATTCAAAAAATAATAAAATACGATGAGGGCAAAATTAAATAACGCTCCGAGACTTCAACATATTACAGACTGAACAGATGGATAGCTTATGTGTTTGTTGTTGTTGTGCAAGTGGAATTAGTAGCCTTGGAGCACTGACGAAGAAGAAACACAAACAGGAATGAGTAAAGGAAAGCCTGGAATATAAAAAAAGAAAAAGAAAAGAAAGAAAGGCACATTTGCAAAACTAATTAAAGTGGAAAAACCAAGTCTTTCATAATATAGCCTGAATAAAACTTTGAGTTTCAATCAATACAAGTGGGTCTAATCACATCGTTGTTTCCCCCAAAAAACCTTCAAGGAAGAACAATCACAAGTACTAGAAAGCTGCAGCTACTGGAGCGACATCACAAGTGACGTCTGCAACTCTCAAATAACCCAAATCTGAGAGTACACACGACAGTCCCCGTAGCGAAAGGTTGTGCAAATTGTGCAAAAATTAAGCACAATCCTCATAGGTAATTTCATTACAACTCACTTATACTGCTGAAGGAAAAAATAATGACTTGGCAACCATTACATGAATGCAGCTATTTGATACACAAACCCTAAATTGTATTTTCTGCCGACGCTGCACTGGAGAGTCACTAAAGTACGGGCCAAGAAATTCATCAACAAAAGGGAATACATTAAATTAATTAATTTAGAATTTTGGAGAAGTATTAAATTATTTTTTTTGGCCATCACACCAATTAGGCCGAATCTGTACATGGAAAATAGAGTAGATTCCATGTGAGAGGAATACAATCATTCCCTACAGATACCATGTGCACACGCTAATCTCAGGTGACCGTAAAGTGACTTAAAGTGAAGAATCCGTTATGATCTAATCATAGCAGACAATTTAACAGGAGTGACAACGCTGGAATAAGAGGAGTGGACTTAAATATAAGCAGATAAACAGCCAGGGGAGGTAGCTACAGTAAGAACAAAAAGGCATATATATATATATATTTAATGCAATATTTCAATATATATATATATATATATATATATACACACATACATATATACATAGGGCCTTTCAATAAGTGGAAATATTGCATTAAGTAGCAAGAGTGACTTGATCATTTTTGTGCCAGGCAAACTGATTGAGAAAACATTAACTTGTGTGGCAACGCTATGAGAGAATACGTCACGTTACCTTTGGTCGCTTAATCTCTCAACGTGTACATTCTGGGGCAAGAAATATATCCATGCACAGCTACAAGTGTTTGTTTTAGGGGGAATGCTAATTATGATGATATATATTTTCAGTATTTCCATTTTATGAAGATGCGATTAACGAAAAAATTAAATGAAATCACACGAAATGCTTTGTGAAAGAGCACATAGTCTATAGGGACTTGTTTTTGGCAAAACAGGAAACATGAGATAAAGTGCCGCTGAAATTATTAACAGAAATGAATTCCTCGCCCGCTCCCCTTCAGCCAAAGGTTTCACTGGATGAAACATCCGGGGAGGAGTTCAGTTGAGACCTGGTCTCAGTGACTCGGACTGTGGGGAACTCCGGGAAGTCCGTGCTGTGTCCTCGGAGACTCAATTGTCCGTTGGCAACGGTAAACAGCGAGGAGGATCCAGATCTTGACGCCTGGAAATGAGATTTGAAGTTCTGATCAAAGGAGCTTATTTGAAACGTCTGCAGGATGCCTTGTGAAGAGTCTGTCTTTTTGGAGGGCGAGACCTGCTCCAGGAAGTCCTCCTCGGCCGGGGACACGGCAGAGGGAGGCGTGGTCTCGTCACCTGAAAACGAAAATGAGTGCTGGGAGTCCCCGACCAGCAGTCCAAAGTTGGGTTTCTCTAAAGGGGACCTCAGCGGAGAGCTCATCCCTGATTTGAACCTGCTGGGGGAAGGAAACTGTTTCTCGGTGGAGAACAGAGGTTGTCCGGCCAAGGTGGGGTTTTCGGAGACCAGGCTGAGGCTCTGGCTGGTCAGGTAGCTGTCGTTCTGGCTGGTCCTCTCCAACGCCTGCTGGAGGAACTTGGAGTACTCTTGCAAGAGGCTGACCTTCTCGGTAGCCGGCTGAGCCTGGGCGCTGGAGGCTCCGAGACTCTCCACGGGGCTGCTGTCCGACACGTCGGAGGAGTTTATGGATATGCTCGACGTCACCTCGGTGTCGGCCACGCTGAAAGAAATGTCCGACTGCCCGTTGGCTTTGTTGGAGTAGTGATCCAACAGCGTCTGGAGAACCTCGTCCGGCAACACACTCTTGTCGTGCGTCGCTTTAATCTCCGCGCTGACGGGCTGCGGCTCCAGAATGGTGGCGGGGACGGTCTCGTCAATGACCGTCGACACTACGGTTGGCGTGACAGGCGGCTGAGAAGAAATGCTGCTCGCGTTCAGGCCGTAATCCCGACTATTGTTGGCCATCGCGGCCTGAAGGTACCGCTTCTTTTTGAGAAACTGCATGGCGTCGTCGTAGTTTGTGCTGCTAGCTGCCGGCTTCGTCGGTCCTCCTTGAAGAGTTTCGACTGGCTCGAGGTCAGCGGTGCTCTCCACTTCTAAAAGGCCCTGCTTGTCCACGATTTCAAAGGTGTACTGCGTGACCTTCGTAGTTTCCTCAAAGGAAGACAGAGTGGACAGGCAGGGAAGAGTTTGTTCACCGGACTGCTTGAGACTCCTCTTGGGGACCTTCTTCAGGACTAGCTTGGGAGGAGTCGTGTCTTCTGACGACACGTCGCCCTCCTGGTGTGGAATAGCCGTTTCTTCAGGAAGTTCCCCGGAGTACTCTGCGATCACGTACTCGTGTTTGACTTTGGAGGACACGGCATAGAGAGCTAGACCTTCAAGTTTATTCTGTCCCTGCTCCTCCTTCTCCTCTGTCTCCAGGACAGTGACAACGGTGTGCCCATCAGAAGCTCCCGAACTCTTGTCTGCACACTTCTGCCGCTTTTTCTTGGGCAGTGAACACTCTTTGGCAAGAAACGGGAGGCCCAAAGAATCTGCTTCACGCAAAGGCCCAACTTTACCCGCTGCCTTGTTGGTCTTTCTCTCTCTGTTCTCGTGACACATTCGCCTGTGCTTTAAAACCCGGTCTGTTCTGGAGAAGTACTGTGGACAGAAGACAAACACATGAGCGCCAATTCAGATTGTATTCTAATATCGGATTCACCACCGTATTCCACGCGTACCTGGTGACAGTAGTCACATTGGTACGGCTTCTCTCCACTGTGAGTCCTCTTGTGTCTCTCCATGTGGTACTTCTGGATGAACCTCATCCCACACTCATCACAGCGAAAAGGCTTCTCACCTAAACAATAAAAAGGAAGAGAGGAAAAGACTCACTTTAGAGTGAAATAGAAACAAAATAAAAGTGCGTACCAATTTGCATTTATTCTCCACTCACCAGTGTGGATCTTCTCATGTCTCTGGAGGAGATATTTCTGAATGAAGCGCATATCACACTGGCTGCACTGGAATGGTTTCTCACCTGGAAAGTAAATAGCATAGCCAGCATATAAATGACAATATAGATACTGTATTTCATATGATTCTATTAAATTTAGCATTGCCCTTCTTTTCATCCACTTTCAAGACATGATATCTAATTCCAAAGCAAGAAATGAATACAACGGCATTTCAAAACATACCGGTGTGAATGAAGACGTGCCTCTGTAGATGGTAGTTGGTTCTGAAGGCAGCATTGCAGTGAACACAGACGTGACACTTGGGGTTCTGTAAGCCCAATGAGTCATCGTCATTGATGTTGAGAATCTGCACCAGCAAAGGGAACGAAGACATATTGGTGTTTGATTCATCCTTACAGTTGTCACTAACTGTCACACAGATGCAGATCAGAACATGATTTCTGAGATCAAAATGAACTTGCACCTTTGCTGGTGAACGCTGCTTCCTCTTTTTCTTCTTGGGACAAAGCATCAGGTCCTTCACTGCTTTTTTGTCCTTCTTTATCTGGACCGGGTTCTCAGACGGCTTCAGTTCTTGCTTGATGCTCAACTGTAAAAGATAGGAAAGACATTTAATACGGCACATGGCCCACTCTAGAGCCCACTCACGCATCTGGAACGTATCAAGGTCAGGCCGGTGCAGTAGGGCAAGTAGAGGAAAATCAACCAATGTGAGGGGACCTCTTCTCCTCTACAATCTAAAGGTGATACATACGCAATTGGGAGCATTTCTGTTGCCTCTAAACGGCTCTCAACATGGCGACGGTTGAGCAAGGGGGCTCGCAGCTAACGGTGCTAACAATGCAAATAACGGCAACAGCGCTGACGGAGCTAACAGTGTTTTCCTGAAGGGGAACAGGAGGCTGGGTGCTACACTCCTCATGGCGCTGTCAGCTGTAGCCGCCGTATGAGCGCAGAGCGACGGTCGTGAGCTTAACCAGTGGAGCGCGCTCACGTGCACTAACAAACTAAAAGCACATGCGGCCGGCCCAGCTATGATGCAAGGAGAAGCAGCGACTTTATTCTCTCCTCATGTGTTTACATAGTTTGCTGCTATATTTGCTGCGATTGTGGCAAGGCCGTCTTTCAATCAGAGGGTCGGTGGTTCGAACCCCGGCTCCGCTAGTCGCATGTCGATGTGATGTGTCCTTGAGCAAGACACTTAACCCCAAAATTGCTCCCGTAGCTGTGCCTACGGTGTAGAAATCTGATAGACTCTGAATTGTAAGTCACTTTGGATAAAAGCGTCTGCTAAATGACTGTAATGTAATGTAATGTCTATATTAACGCTCTAAATATCCAATTTAGCACCTTTTAGAGGACAGCTGATGTGGTTCTAGCATCCTCTGCTCTGAGGGTGACCGATGATGTTGCCATGTTCCAGGATTCAACAAATCATTTGAAGAGTACAATGTGTTTCTTACTGACAGAGATAATGGCCAAAACTATGTAAATAACGTCAAAGTTGTAATAAACAGGAATTACGCCGCCCTAAGCCTGACTCTGTGGAGCGGTTTGGGTTATCCCCGATGTTTACACTCACAGTAATTCACATGTACTGTCTCGTTATTCTTTTGTAATGCAAAATATTTAAAAAGCGCAAACATTTCAGCTAATGCCTTTATCTCTGTGAAGGCTCCTGACCTTTTTTTTTTTTTTTTTACTCCAAGTGCAAACCAGGTACACAAAGGGAGAGAGGTGATCCCTCTCAACAACATAATATCCTTCATGTTTAAGGAGGATATTTTCAGTGATGTACTGTGTGGGAGGGAGAGGGGGGGGCAAGCTTTCCACTTCTAATATTTGTGTTATACACTTCATATCACTGTCCTTAAAATGTTTCTTTCGCATTATTTTGCAAAGCATCTGTAAACCAGCTCATGAGTGTACAGCACTAAATAAGTTGCATATATGCCGGTAGTGTTGAGGGAACTGGTGTCTCATCACAAACATTGCATGGCATGACATGAATAAGTCTCACTCTAATGACATGGACACCATAAGTACAGTATCCACACAAATGATCTTATTAATGCACGATCTACTTCTTAACTCGCATGAACTCACTGGCATATGAAGCAAGCAGGGCAACTTATTGGTGAGTTTTAGGGGGAAATGCACTCCCACCTCGCCTCCTCCCTCCTCCTCTTCTCCTCCTCTACCATTCTTTGTCATCTCCTCCTGCATCATCAGCTGCTCTGGAGGAACCAGGTCATGTGTGACCAGTGAGCTCCCGGTCAAGTCCTCGTCTTCGTCGTCATCGTCGTCATCATCATCATCATCATCATCCTCGGCCAACAGAGGGTGGTTTGCCAGTGACCGTTCCCCCAGTGTCATCACCACCAGTCCTCCTCCTCCTCCACTGCCGAGCCCAACTCTCCCTCCTCCGTCTATTCCTCCGCTGCTGCATTTCAGCAGCATGCCCTCCAACTTGTCCTCAGTGTTCATCTTACATAGAGTAGTTCTTAGGTCTGTAAAACAAAAAGAAATAGACGGATGACTGGACAACGGTGGCAAGCTAAACACCAAACATACTCACTGGAAGTTTGTTGTGTTTACTGGACGTCATGAGGAAGGAGGATGTGAAATCACACACAAGTGAAGCAACAAAAACAACTTGAGTCCAAAACATATTTCCATCGTGACTCTTGATGTGAAGATAGCAAAGTGACAAACTAGGGCGGTAAGCTAACACTTCCAAGTTACCCAGAAGCTTGTGACTTCCTTAGTTAAAATAGGGATGGTTTCTTATTATTGTAATGTGCAATGGTTATTATTGTAATGTGCAATGGTGACTTATTATTCTAATGTGCAATG